AACACAGATAGCCTTAGCAACACGCATGTTGCAGATAACCTGAGAGCATTAAATGGAACTTAGCTTGTGAAGACGTTCGAGAGAGTGAAACATAGCAGCTGTGAAGTGGATGCTTGATCTCTTGATATCCTTCTTGGGGATGAAGTTCCCATCTGAACTTGTTCTTGAGTCAGTCACATAACTTGTGGAGTTCATGACAATAATGTAGAGATGTGTGAAATAATGCTAACTCAGTCACTTCTGAATCAATGCAGAGAATTCACGTGTTCAAGTTAACGAACTTGAATGAATCGGAGGTGAGACCATTGGGGAAGCGAATTCCACTTCTCTAAATTCCCGATTCCTAGTCATGATGGTGTTTTGCCTGCCGAATTCGCCGTTTAATTAGCTATTGAGCAATGCGAAAGCCGCTGATAATACTGAAGGACCTTACATATGAATGCTTAGATAGGTGTCGTATTCCCATAGGTTGATGGGGATCAGCTGAGAGTCAGCTGATGCGAGCTTGACTAACGTGACCTGCCAGAACTAACGCTACGCTTGATTTCCAGTATGATGTGTGTGTCTTTACACTAATATTGGGGAGCAGATTAAGGGAAGCACCAGAGGACCAGTAGCTTCATATAAAACAGCTGTATTCCCGACTGACCACGGCCTGCAACATCCATTAACATCAGCTAATAGTTCTAACATGTTTGACACAGGATGTCACCCAACTTTTCTCATGTGGAATAATCTGAAGAGGACACTGTCGGCACAGATGCTGCTGTGTGTGCATGGACTGCTGAAGATATAATAACCAATTGATGGAAAAAAAATATCGATAGATCTGTGGTAATTTAACAAGCTAGTGGTTTTAGAGAATGTGAACATGATTATTCTTCAAAAACGCCAAGAACACAGAGTCAAAGAGCAGTACTTTTAAATTAGAAAATGCTGGTGTTGTCACAGAAGTAAGAGTGCTATATATTTTTTTATAAAACGGAGAGTTCCGATCCTTGATTCTGATTGGTTGAGCTGCATTTGAAGCTGTTGTAAATTACTCTACAAACACACCTTTGTTTACTTCTGTGTGTTGCTTGGCAACCACTTTGTTGCAACCACAACTGTTTCTGAGGAACTACATTGTTTGGTGGAAGAATACTGTTTTTATTGATATCATTACACTTGCTCTGTTTTATTCTGTGAAACCTTACTACGTATATAGAATAACCGTTTTATAAAAGCAATAAGCCCCGTGAAGCCGTGGTTTACAGTGATTTTATAACAGCTAAGGGGGTTTTAGTCACTCCGCTTCGCGTCGTACCTAACAACGCCCCTTAGCTGTTATAAATTCACTGTAAACCACGTCTTCTTGGGGCTTATTGCTTTAATTTGTGTGTTTTACTGTTTCCCTTACACAGTCACTTTTCACTGATTTATTTCTTTTTTTGTCCTCTTTTTTGAAAACTAAAATATGGTCACCCTAGTTTATGTAGCGTGTATGTTGTTGTCCAGCTAAACCAGGTGTTAAGAGGTCTGCTGCTCCTCCTGTGACTGATGTGAGGAGGCCGTCTGCCCCGGTGTTCCTCAGAGGTCTGCAGGATCTCAGAGTCATGGACGGCTGTCAGGTCACAATGACCGTGGAAGTGACAGGTATGAAAAGTCAGCATGAGATCAGCTTCTCCTCTTGGAGGAGAGCAGAGTAAGAATTTAATTTAATTTAATTTAATTTAATTATTTCATTTCATTTTATTTCATTTTTTATTATTTTAGTTTATTCATAATGGATACCATTGACTCAGAAATTACCCTTTTCATTATGTTCAGAGTAATTTTTGCTTTTATGAAAATCATTTAATATTACAGTTTGATAGCCTTTTTTATCGCGTAATTACATTAAATCATCCATTAATTAAATAAATAATACACATGATATTGCATATCATTATATTAAATATTTAATTAAATATAATTATATTAAACTATACAGTTTATTCAATGTCTACTGGGTGTTTTCACTTTTTCTGTACAATGTTTTCAGAGCTGATCTGATTTTTTTCAATCACAACAACTTTAAACGTTTATATACTAGCAACACATTTAAAAACACTGGTCAGTGCACTGACCATACTGACCAACAGTGCACCCAAACCATAAGTATAATTTGAGAAGTATATATATATATATATATATATATGCACACACACACACACTGCCGCTCAAAAGTTTGGGATCAGTAAGGTTTGTAATGTTTTTAAAGAAGTCTCATCTGCTGATCAAAGCTGCATTTATTTGATCCAAAATACAGAAAAAAACAGTAATATTGTGAAATATTATTCTAATTTAAAATAATGGGTTTCTATGTTAATATACTTTAAAATATAATTTATTTATTTGATGTAAAGCTGAATTTTGAGCATCATTACTCCAGTCTTCAGTGTCACGTGATTATTCAGAAATCATTCTAATATGCTGATTTATTATCAATATTGGAAACAGTTGTGCTGCTTAATATTTTTTGGAACCTGTGATCATTTTTTCAGGATTCTTTGATGAATAAAAAGTTAAAAAGAACAGCATTTATTTAAAATAGAAATCTTTTGTAACAATATACACTACTGTTCAATTTTTTTTCCTTTCTTTGTTTATAAGAAACAAATACTTATATTCAGCAAGGATGTGTTAAATTGATAAAAAATTATTGTAAAGCATTGTATTTTTAGAAAAAAAATAATATTTCGAATAAATGCTGTTCTTTTTTAACTTTTTATTTATCAAAAAAAAAATCCTGAAAAGGTATCACAGGTTCAAAAAAATATATATTGATCTGCATATTAATAAATAATAAATCAGCATATTAGAATGATTTCTGACAGATGATGTGAAACTCAGGACTGGAGTAATGATGCTGAAAATTAATCTTTGCATCACAGGAATAAATTATATTTGAAATTATATTAAAATAGAAATATTACTGGGTTTTTTTCTGTATTTTTGATCAAATAAATGCAGCCTTGATGAGCAAAAGACTTCTTTAAAAAAAACGTTAAAAATCCTACTGATCCCAAACTTTTGAATGGCACTATATATATATATATGTACCTCGGTTCGGGTGTCACGGTTCGATACGATTTCGGTACAACAGGGAAAAAGACAACAAATCTACTATGCTCGGTTTCTTTTCATTTATTTTGAACAGACAGTAGTACAAATTACAATGTTTTCCACCTAGATGTGAAAATACTAAATGTTATTACATTGTTATATTTATATATAATCTGCAGTACATATATACATACAAGGAATACATTCTTGAACTATATTTGATTTAGTTTACAGATAAACAAGAGAAAAAACAGTGCGACACGTAACGTAGCCTATATACGCTGAGTTTCAGTTCATTTTTGTGACAGGCTTAATTTGTTCAAAGAAAGGAAACTCAAATGGCAGAAAGCGACATCCTATTTGTTTTCTTTAATTTACAAAAGCACAATGTTTTGTTTTCATTGTGAGTGTACACAAATAAAAGCAGACATTTATACAGTGATGCATTATTACAGTGAACCAAACATCAGCGCGACCGCCTCTGTGTCACCGCTGGAACGCGACTGAAGTACAAAGCCTATAATTTACATAATAAATAATAGTTTAGCATTCAGATACGTTACATCGCAAATATGGAAATATTATGAAATATTTGGATTTGTGCCGAATGAGAGAGGCAGGATACACGAGCACAAAGCTCCATTTTGCAAACAGTTGAGTACACAAGTTTTCAAAGTATACTCCTTTGTCAGTCCGTGAGAGACGCTGATTCAGAATCAGCACATGGTCACTGTCTAGTGGGCTTTGTTTGCCACTCATGGCATTCACTGTTCTTCTGCTGGCGGCCGGTTAACAAACAGCTTTGCATTGCTGCGGGCGCCCCCTTCTGGATTGGGGGTGAATTGCGTGTATTCGTTGTAAGGCCTCATGCACCGAACCGAGATGTCCGTACCGTGACGGTTC